ATTCATATTGATTTTTTTATATTTCACAGTCTGTCTTGTGTTTTTATAATTGTATTGTTACCTTATTTATCTGTTAACACTGCACAGAAGAAACGTTGACGTGTGACATCTATGTTTGTAAATCTGTGAAGCCCACTGAGACCATCGTGTTTTCTGATATTGGGCTATTACATTACATTACATTTAGCTGACGCTTTTATCCAAAGCGACTTACAATAAGTACATTCGACCAGGAAGACACAACCTTGAAGAAAACTGAATCATATAAGTATATCAGGTTTCATAGAGCCAAACATTTCAAGTGCTACTCAACTGGCTTTAGGTAAGCCAGTCCTTTATTAGTATAAAAGTGCTTCGTTAATAGTTCTAACGCTCGAAGTGGAGTCGAAAGAGATGAGTTTTCAGTTTGCGCCGGAAGATGTGCAAGCTATCTGCCGTCCTGATGTCAATGGGGAGCTCATTCCACCATCTTGGAGCCAGGACAGCAAACCCACGTGTTTTCGCCGATGGGAACTTGGGTCCCCCTCGCAGCGAGGGTGCAGCGAGTCGTTTGGCTGATGCAGAGCGGAGTGCACGCGCTGGGGTGTACGGTTTAACCATGTCCTGGATGTAGGAAGGGCCAGATCCATTCGCAGCATGGTAAGCAAGTACCAGTGTCTTGAAGTGGATTCTAGCAGTTACCGGAAGCCAGTGAAGGGAGCGGAGGAGCGGAGTGGTGTGGGAAAATTTAGGAAGGTTGAAGACCAGACGAGCCGCTGCATTCTGGATGAGCTGCAGAGGTCGGATGGCACATGCAGGTAGACCAGCCAGGAGGGAGTTGCAGTAGTCTAGGCGTGAGATGACGAGAGCCTGGACCAGAACCTGAGTCGCTTTCTGTGTCAGCTGGGGACGTATCTTCCTGATGTTGTAAAGCGTGTATCTGCAGCAACGGGTTGTAGCAGCGATGTTTGCAGTGAAGGACAGGTTGTTATCTAGGGTCACACCCAGATTACTTGCAGTCTGAGTCGGGGAAACAACTGAGGTGCCGATGTTGATTGTTAGGTCAAGAGTGGGACAATCTTTTCCCGGGAGGAAGAGCAGCTCAGTTTTGTCAAGGTTGAGCTTGAGGTGGTGAGCAGACATCCACTGAGAGATGTCAGCTAGACAAGCAGAGATGCGTGCGACGACCTGGGTCTCTGAGCGGGGAAAGGACAGAATTAATTGGGTGTCGTAGGCGTAGCAGTGGTAAGAAAAACCATGCGGGCTAATGACTGATCCGAGTGAGTTTGTGTACAGGGAGAAGAGGAGGGGACCAAGAACAGAGCCCTGAGGGACCCCTGTAGTTAATTGACAAGGGTCGGACTCAGACCCTCTCCAAGTCACCCTGTAGGTACGGTCTTTCAGGTATGAGGTGAGGAGGGAAAGAGCAGAGCCTGAAACTCCAAGTTCTTGGAGAGTGCGAAGGAGGATCTGATGGTTCACCGTGTCGAATGCAGCAGACAGGTCCAACAGGATGATGACAGAGGAGAGGGATGCAGTTTTGGCAGTGTGCAGTTCCTCCGTGACAGCAATGAGAGCAGTTTCTGTGGAGTGACCTGCCTTGAAACCAGACTGGTGCGGATCCAGAAGGTTGTTCTGATGGAGATAACAGGAGAGTTGTTTAAAGACAGCGCGTTCAAGTGATTTAGACAGGAACGGGAGGAGAGAGACAGGCCTGTAGTTTATAACATCAGACGGGTTGAGAGTGGGTTTCTTTAGGAGAGGGTTTACTCTTGCCTCCTTGAGACTGTTTGGAAAGTGACCAGAAGTTAGAGAAGTGTTGATGAAATGAGTGAGAAACGGTAGAATATCAGGAGCGATAGTCTGAAGGAGGTTTGAGGGGATAGGGTCCAGAGGACAGGTGGTAGGGCGGGCAGAGGTAATGAGGGTAAGAACCTCACTTGGAGAGAGAGGGGAAAAGGAGGTTAGTGTGTTGGTGGAAGGAGGGTCTGGTGACCCAGCGGTGAGTAGAGGTGAGTCAGAAAAAGAAGAGCGAATATCATCAACTTTTTTTCAAAGTGGGTAACAAAGTCGCTTGACAGAAGTGAGGAGGGGGGAGGAGCTTTTGGAGGGTCCAAGAGGGTGGAGAAGATGGAAAATAGTTTTTTAGGATTGGAATAGGAAGATTGGATCTTATCTTGAAAGAAAGTGCTTTTTGCCTGAGAGATCGAAGCAGAGAAAGAGGAGAGGAGAGCCTGATAGGTTAGGAGGTCATCACGGTGTTTGGATTTCCACCGTTTCCGCTCTGCTGCCCGAAGGACGGTTCTATTAGCACGCAGTGCATCATTTAGCCAGGGAGCAGGAGGGGACTGACGAGCCTGCCGAGATGTGAGAGGACAGAGAGAGTCCAGAGTGGATGAGAGAGTAGAGGAGAGAGTTTCTGCAGCAGAGTTTGGAGGCAGGAGTTGGAACGAGTCAGAGGAAGGGAGGGCTGAGAGCACCGACGAGGCAAAGGTAGAGGGGGAGAGGGAGCGAAGGTTACGGCGGACAAGTGCAGGATGAGAAGAGATTAGTTTGATATGTTTGGAAAGGGGTAGAGAGAATGAAATGAAGAAGTGATCGGTTGTGTGGAGCGGGTTTACAGAGAGGTTAGAAGTAGCGCAGTTCCTTGAGAATATGAGATCAAGGACATTGCCAGCTTTATGAGTCGGTGGGGACGGAGACAGTGAGAAAGCAAAGGCGGTTAACAGAGATGTTAGTTCGTCTATCTTCCCCATCTGGAGGTTGAAGTCTCCGAGAAGTACAGCGGGAGGGCCAGTTTCAGGGATGTGTGAGAGGAGATGATCTAATTCCTCCAAGAAGTCCCCCAAGGCGCCTGGTGGACGGTAGAGAACAACAATGGTTAACTGTATAGGATGGGTTACTGTGACGGCATGGAACTCAAAGGTGGAAGGAGTGAAGTTAGGTAGCTTGAAGAGGGAAAAGCTCAATTTGGGAGAGAGCAGGAGACCAGTGCCACCTCCTCTGCCAGTGGGTCTGGGTGTATGGGAGAAGGAATATGCAGTGGAGAGAGCTGCTGGGGTGGATGTGTTGGATGGAGTAATCCAGGTCTCAGTGAGAGCAAGGAAATCCAGAGACTGCAGGGAGGCGTAGCCAGAGATGAAGTCAGCCTTAGGAACAGCTGACTGGCAATTCCACAGGCCACCAGAAACTAGATGTTGGATCTCAGTGGAGCATGTGGGATAGACGAGAGCAGGCCGGTTATATCGATTAGGAGATACACGGGGCCAGTGATAATTGCGAGAAGACACATGAACAGGAATGGAGAAAATACACATGATTATAGCATGAGGGGCTAGAAAACTAAAGAAAAGAGAAATAAGACACCAGCTCAATCAGAGTAGGATTTGCCTCCTCTTTGCCTCCCTCGTGACTCCCGTAGGACTCCAATGTCTTTGTCAGTCTTCGGCTGTCTGACGCTGAAGCTGACGCTCCATATATAAATACACTTTGATTTGACTACCTGTAAGACAGCGTTTCCGCCAAGGAGGCGTCTTGCCGTCATTTGACGAGGGCGTCCAAAAATAATTATAATTTGAGAGAAGATCGAGAGTTTTTATCGCTTGAAATTACGAAAAGGAAAAAGGACATCCCTCTGTTGGAGGGGCAAAGGAATCTGGTGGGATTCTTTTCGCCACCAGCAAAGCGCGTTACTGTGACGGAAAAAACAAACGCCGCCGCATCTTCCAAGGACCATGCCAGGATGGGTGTCCCTAGAGACGTAAAGAGATGGCATTAGGGACGGCGCAATTACGTACAAAAAAAAATACGTAAAGAGATAGCATGCCTATCTAATGGCACATTTCCACTGCAGCGGGGTAGCCCCGTTTAAGCGTCCTTAAGCGTCCTCGCTCAGGCCTCGGGCTGCCTCGCTGGCCGTCCGAGGCCGTGGCGCATTTCCATTACAGTTTAGGACCTGGGGTAGCAACGCAATGTAGGCGGGGCTCCCGTCGAGCTCCCGCTGGATTTTATCATCCCCAATAAGATGTAGGAACGTCGTCACCTCCTCGGTCGACCACGGTGTGCTTTTCTTTGACGTTGCCATTTTTGTAGCTCCTCCGTTTACAAAAATGCTGTGTATAAAAATGCTTCAAGCTTGCTTCTAGATATATATGCGACGCAAGGGATGATCTTGTGACGATTCTCTCTGACCAATCAGCAGTCGAGTGTTGACGTCACTAGTTCAGCCCTGGCCTGGTCTGATAGAACCACGATTTTATGGGGCCGGAGAGAGAAAAAGTACCCGCTAGCCGGTGCTACGCTATATGGAAAAGCCACCAAAAACTGGCCTGGCCGCTTGAGGACGATTTAAGGACGCTTAAACGGGGCTACCCGCTGCAGTGGAAATGCGCCATAAGGGACGGCTCAATTCAAAATTCAAGTCACGTGACACGACATCACCCCCGCTCTCGTGGTGGATGCCCTCTCAGCGGAAACACTGCTGTAGGAGCCTGTGTTTGTAGCTATATTATCTTCATTATTTGTCAACACCACACACACTTGTAATGGGTTGTTTCCGGGATGGTCACATGGTGTGGTTAATGGTATTTAGGGCACTGGGTGTATGCGGAGGTTTGGTAGCATGAGGGTGAGCTTAGCTCTGATATGTTTTGTTGACCGTATGATTCTGTTTGTTTATTGTTTTGATTTACAATATTAAATATCCTTAAAACGTCGAGTTCAGTGCAGACTTTATTATTTATACGCGTCACAACAATGAGCGAAGTTTAGCCTCAGAGCGGCCTCTTCTCACAATCAGAATCAGAAACGGGTTTATTGCCAGGTAGGTTCACACATACCAGGAACTTGACTTGATGTCATGGTGCATGCATAAAATATAAAACAAAGAATCTTTAAGGACTCTGTAATCGAATCTAGTTAAATAGCAATAAAATAAAGCAGTAATTTACAGCTAAATGGAATGCAATGAGTTATAGAATAATCACAAAGCTTACCAGTCCAACGCTGCTTTTCTTTTTCAGAAGGACGACGTCTTCAAGGCCGTTCCCACCCCCATGTCTCCTCCACCTGCCCCGGCCACCTCTAAGACACCAGCCACCCCCACGACCCCTGTGACCCCTGTGACCCCGGCCATGACCCCAATGACCCCGGCTACTTCTACTTCACCTGGGACCCCCAGCACCCCGAACTCCATCTCCCCTTCTGGGCTCGTTAAACGCACAACTGGTCAGTATTCCCCCTGCTTCCACCCCTACTGCCATTTATTACATTTGTGTTTATTTTTTTACTTTATTATTTGCCCCTTTTGTTTGGGTCCCTTGAAGGCGCTATACAAATGTAATCTATTATTATTATTATATGATCTCTTATTTCCTTTTATATATATTTTATTGAGCATTAAAAGTACAAAATATACAATTACAGAATAATAGAGGGACAGAAACATAATGTTCACTTTTGGTTTTCTATTGTATACACCCCACCCCCCACCCCCCACCCCGCCTTGACCCCAGGTAAGAAACACAATTATGCACACAAAAAAAGTTTAAATAATAATGAGGGAAAGCTGTGAGCAAAGATATTCTTACAATAAGAATAATATGAACCCAAAGGACTCATCTGATCTGTGGGGCATAAGATCCAGAGTGTCTATGAAAGGGCTCCATATTTTATTAAAGATTAAGTCCAAGAGTTCCAGGCTTACTCTAAATCTGCAGTTCTCAACTTTTTCCTTAAAAATTGCAGCAATTCTGAACTTTGACACCAGCTGAGGATTGATCGCTTTCCCGCCTCGAGCTATTTTTACTTGATTACTTATTAGCAGGGGCCTAATGGCTCCCGAAACTCATTATATCAAAACGAGGCAAAACAAGACATTTATCACAAACTGAACGCATGAGAAACGACTAAGTCCCCCCCCCCCCCCCCCCCTGTTTCATTTATCTCCCGATCCGTTTGGCAGGGTCTCCACCTCTACACTGACAACATGTAGATTGTGTTGCACTATGTGCCATTTATCTCATCTGCTGAACCACGAAAACACACTCTAGAAAGCCCAGACCATTAGTTTTCTGCGTGTGTTTGCATCGTGATGGTATTATTATTATTCTTGCTGCGTTGTCTTGTGATGTTTCATCCTGCTGACTGGGCTCTAATGGAAGCAGCAGAGCAACTCTCAGTGATTGTAGCTGATTGTTGATCTGTAGTCGCTTCCTTTCTGCTTTGGTGATTTCATGAAGGGGAAAAAAGCACGAACATACCGTATAAAGTAATTATCATGATGCAGCTTGAACATCTCACACGCTTCCTGCAGTGCATGCTCATTATCTGTGAATTATGAATGAGTGGAGCCTTAATATGCTTTTTCTGAGTTGTCCCTTTCATGTAGTTTGTTATAAAGGTTTGTGTGCAAAGGCTTACATCTCAAAGTTTCTCTCCCACCAACAGACAGAGGGGGAAAAGAGACGTTTCATATGTCTCATACAGGCAGTACGAGACATCAAAGCGTGGAGACAGTAGACGCAACATATGAACCTGAAAATGAGCAGAATATTCCCCTTTAAACATAAAATAGTCATTTTAAGTTATGCTTTGTACTCACTGTACCGTTTTCATGTCACATCAGGAATGTAGGCATTTAAATGTGGAATATAAGCGACACAGATGTCTAGCATTGCAGCTTTGTTTCCGTTTGGGAAGCTCCTCCTTTTCTCACCGTTTCCTTCGTCCTCCTTTTGCAGCAGGAGAGCGGCTCACTCTCTTCTCATCTTGCCATTCTCTTTGTGTTCTGATGACTGCAGTGTTTACTCTCCGCAGCGCTAGAGCCACCATCTCCACTGGGGAAAACACCACATTAATGCAACTCCTTCATTTCACCAGGAATTGCGTTCTTAATGTCCTGGGTTAATGATTTCATGATGATATCTAGAAGGAACACATCAGCAGCACTAGGACTAACAAGGACTGAAAGCAAGGCGTATGTGGCACCGAAACTAAAATGACCCTCGAGCAACGCTGCTGCATCACATTACAGGAAAGGACAGAGAAGCTGCTTCGCTGCATCATATCTTTCAGGAGCAAATGTTTTCATTAGCAAAGTATCTGTGCTTTTGTTTTATGGTGCCCTACATCTGCAGGAACAGAGTAGACGGTGTATAATAATAATAAACTTGATTTGGAGAGCAGCTTTCATGCACAAAGCAACCCAAAGTGCCTTTCAGAAAACACAACAACAATATTCAAATGATTACAGAACAAGATAAAACATCTAGTGATAATATGTTCAAATAAAACAATTGACAAATGTAAAATAAAAGCAAAACAGAAATAAAATACAGAAAAATGGACAATGATACGAGTGAGAACTGAAAGTTAACCCAAATTAAAAGCTATATTAAAAAGATAGGTCTTTAATTTGCTTTATTACATGGCTTAGTTGAATACTCGATTCTGATTGGTCAATTCAGAACACGTGACACGTTGTTAATCCAGAACAGACAGACCGCTGTCAAGGACTTATTGACCGTTGTTAAGGACGCTCACATCTGCAGAAAGAAGTCCGGTCGATTGAACTGTCTACAGTTTACAGTTTCAAACTGGAACAAGGAAACAGCGGAGAAGTAACGGGGCAGAAACCCTCCTTTTTACGCAGCGGTCCAGACATAGACTTTTTAGATAGATTTCTCCCTTTAAACTGTGGGTTTTCTCCGGAAGTGTTTCCTTGTACGATGTGAGGGTCTAAGGACAGAGGGTGTCGTATTGTCACACTGATATTCTGTACACACTGAAGTCCACTGAGACAAATGTAACATGTGTGATATTGGGCGATATAAATAAACATTGATTGATTGTTAGACATCAAACGGCGACACATATTCAGTTGTCAGTTACTCTGGCATTAGGGCAGGGATATCTAGATACTTCCCAAGGTTTGACATCATGAATTGTGCTACTTTTAAAGCAAGCAACGATGCTTTCAAATCTGTAATAAAAAAGCTCCTCAAAAACACTCTCGAAGCAGTTCCTCCGTTGCTACGTTAGTTCAAACGGTAACAACGGACTATTTCTCTTAGCGGATGCATGTCCATTTAAATCAATACATACAACTATTTTTTAAATCAATAAAAACATTTTCTAAATCCATAACAGCATTTAAATGAATATTGGGAGTCGTGTCGTTACTTTGTTGAGAATGTGGCCGTGTGATAAGCGGGATAATGTTCTTTCCCCATAATGACCGCCGCGCTGCACAGTATCCCTTACTTTAAACATTTCAAGAGATTTTCTTTGTCTTCCCCTCTCCTTTGTTTTAATGTAACGCCTGTCCTGGTGTGTTCAGCGAGGAAGATGTTCCCCAAGAGGAAGCTGGATGAGAGCGGCAGTGAGAGCCCGAAAGACGAGTCGGAGGCCAAGGAGGAGCCGGGTCAGAAACACAAGCGACCCCGTGTGGAGAGCCCAGGTACACTTCACCTCTGATAGGAGCCTGCTAACAAAGCACAGGAGAGTCCTGGGGAGAATGGACACATCATCAGATACTTTCAAAGATCTTAAAGAAAGTACGTCTGTAACATCCCAAATGTCCCTATGGTCCATCAGTAGTTGCTTGAACAGAGCTGGAATACCAGTCAACTAATCGCTTAGTTACTCAACAGAATCTGTCTCTGCAACTCATTTGATAATATCGTTAGAGTGGATTACCAAACGGCAAACAGTCGTTAGTTCCAGCGTCGACAATGTGAGGATTTGCAAGGTTGTTGGATTCTTAATGAGCAAGAATTTGACCTTTTGGTCGGACAAAAAAAAGCGATATTAAGACATCAGTTTTGGCTCTGGATTCTCCTGATTCAATATATGGAAAAGTAATCATGTTTAATGATGTCATCTATCAAGTGATTTGCAGCCCTAACATAACAAGCCTGTGCGTCAGCCTAAGACATGTGACGGATAAACGGAGACCAAAGAAGGTTAAACGGTGAATGAAAGACAGTCAGTTTCTCATCTGTTATTCAATTATAATGTTTGCTGTGGAATGGTTATAGTAGAATTTCTCGACAAGATGCAACTTAAAGTGCCAAAAACTTCACCTTTTTTTGTTTTAAAGATGGAGCTGTGAAGGAACAACGTTGAATTTCTAAGCAAACTATAAAACTCACAAAAATACATTTTCATATTCTCTCTCTGCCATTTGCTTCAGATTTGTGTCCTTAACAACTCAGAGTAGCGTTTCAACATCAGTTAGGGATGTAACGATATATCGAATATCGCGGTAAATAAATGTCTCAATATCGTCGTGAGACTGACAAAATATACCGCGATTTTCTTTTATATATAATTATTATTATTTTAATTTTTTTTAAACCTTTATTCAACCAGACGGTCCCATTGAGATCATCAATCTCTTTTTCAAGGGAGACCTGTCCAACATGGCAGCAAGTAGGTTACAACATGAACATAAAACAACAGATAACACAAAAGGACATCGTATGTACAGGGCTACATGTACACACCTAGAGACATTGACAAGTACCAACAGTATATTTATATCTCTGTCAATAAGCCTCACCTTCTTGGCAACAGCTGTATTGTTTTTGAAGTGGTGGAGAGACAATGCACAGTTTGACCCACTGCTGTTACCCATGGCCAAAGCATATCTCTGTCCCAGCAACATCTGTACCAAGCAAGAGAGTTTTCTCCACAGCAGGGGATTTTGTAAACGCCCAAACATCCCAGCTTCTACCTGGAAATGTGGACATGCTCATATTCCTCAAAGATAACCTTGATGATGCTGAGTGAGTGAGTTAGAGTTGAGTTACTTGAACAACTAAAGTGAAACTTGATTTATTCTATTGCAGGGTCTGATTATTATATTGTTGACGCTTTAAAATACTACTATCTACTAAAATGCTGTACAAATCAGATTTATTATTTAATCAAGAAAAAAAAGTCAAGTAAACATTTTTTTTATTTTTCAATATCGCGATAAATATCGTACTGTGAGTTTTTGGTATCGTTACATCCCTAACATCATGTATAAGCAAAATTGGAAATATTATCCATCCATCTATCAAACATACTTGTCCAATTTGTGAGTCTACATGAGGTCTTATCTGGGACATAATAACAAAGTGTTTTGTGGTGGTTTCCCCTTTTTTAAATGTAGTTTTTTGTTCGCAGCATGTGTGTTTCAGATGCACAGCAGAGGGGGAAATGGACCCTCTGTTTTTCCCAAATTGTCTTTACTAAAAGTTAGATTCACAAGAGAAAATAAAGTTTGAAGTCTCTCCTCCTCACCCTGCTGGTATCATGACCCCGGCTCTATGCTCTGTCAATAGTCTCTGGCTTACCGACTCTCAGGTGGAAAGCAAATCTTAAAAAACATAACCTGCGGCATTTACTGAAGAAGGCTAGCTTTGTTGAAAACCATCTTCAAAGCATGGTCGCACAAATACAAAATAAAATAAACTGGGTCACCCCTGCTGGCATTTCTCTCTTCAATGACTCCTCTGCCTTTCTGTCTCACCCAGGGAACACCGATGAACCATGGAGGGAGGAAGCAAAGGAAGAACGAGTTGAAAAGGGGCGCTGACCGAGGCTACGAGCCCAGATGAGGGAGGAAGGTGGAGAAGAAAGAGGAAGTAGAAAAAGGCCGTGGAGGAGAAGAAAAGAGGAAGTAGAAAAGGCCGTGGAGGAGGAGGAGGAGAAAGAAGGGAAAGCTGAGGCGGGCGGAAACGAAAAACTGAAGCAAAGGAGAAGAAGGGATGATGAAGAAAGTTTCCAAGAAGAAGAAGAAGAAGAAGAAGGAGAAGGTGGGTTTGAAAAAGGACACAGCAAGAGGCAGAAAGGAGCCCGGAAAAGTCAAACACAGAGAAAGCCGAAGAGAAACAAAAGGAGCATGAAAGATAAGGAGCCGCCCAAAAAATCCCCATCAGCAGTTTCTTTGGTGAGGAGACATTTGCATAGCTCCTTGCTTGCAAACAAAAAGGTGTCCGTGAATGCGCTTCTATCAGGATGAGAGGAGCTTAACAATATTTCCCTGCTCCGACCCTCCTGCTCCACCTCTCACCTTCCTTTTTGTGTATTCTGTTTTGTTCCTATAGCTCCCATAGAAAAGCTCGCAGTAAAGGACGGAGAAATCGGAAAGAGGAGAAGGGCGAAGGGAGAGAAACAGACGAGTCCAGAGAGGAAGGTTTCAGGCGGAGGAGAGCAAAGACGTCAAAGGGGTGAATCAAATCAAACTTTATTTATATGGCGCTTTTCCATACACAAAAGGTAATATAAAGTGGTTCACAAAGAAATAGATGAATAAACAAGGTAATGAATACCAAGTAACACATGACTTGGTATTCATTACATTGCATTTAGCTGACGCTTTTATTCCAAAGTGCATTCGACCAAGAAGATACACATAGAAGAAAACAGAATCATAAAGTACATCAGTTTTGATAGGAGCCTAAAACATTTCAAGTGCTACTCAACTGGCTTTAGATAAGCCAGTCCTTTATTAGTATATAAGTGCTTTGTTAATAGTTCTATCGCTCGAAGTGAGTCGAAAGAGATGAGTTTTCAGTCTCCTCCCGGAAGAGGTTGCAAGCTATCTGCTGTCCTGATGTCAATGGGTGAGCTCATTCCACCATCTTGGAGCCAGGATAGCAAACCCACGTGGTTTTTGCCGATGGGAACTTGGGTCCCCCCTCGCAGTGCGGGTGCAGCGAGCCGTTGTGGTTGATGCAGAGCGGGAGTGCACGTGCTGGGGGTGTACGGATTTAAACCATGTCCTGGATGTAGGAAGGGCCTATATCCATTCGCAGCATGGTACGCAAGTACCAGGTGTCTTAAGTGGATTCTAGCAGTTACCGGAAGCCAGTGAAGGGGAGCGGAGGAGCGGCGTGGGTGTGGGAACATTTAGGAAGGTTGAAGACCAGACGAGCCGCTGCATTCTGGGTGAGCTGCAGAGGTCGGATGGCACATGCAGGTAGACCAGCCAGGAGGGAGTTGCAGTAGTCTAGGCGTGAGATGACGAGAGCCTGGACCAGAACCTGAGTCGCTTTCTGAGTCAGCTGGGGACGTATCTTCCTGATGTTGTAAAGAGTGCATCTGGTAATGATAAGACAGTTGGAACCAAAAGAAGTCAATAAGCACAGGACTCAATAAAACAAGGATGAAATAAAAATACATCTAAATAAAATAAGAACAGAAATCCAAATAAATGAGGAAGAATAAAAATGAATACAGTTATTTAAAAATACCTATCAATTAAATCCATTATAAAAAGGTGGGTCTTGATTTTGCTCTTAAAATAGTGAATGCCCTGTGCCGCCCCAAGGTGTTCTGTAATTCCTTAAAGACCCCTCACCACTTTGTTTTCACTTTGCATCTGATTAAAACATTATTATATCATTAAATGAGAATTAAAAGGCAGGTACCACAAGACCTGAGGGTTCATTAATTAAAGCAAAACTAATAAATACTGAGACCATTAAGAGCGTACGAAACCAATACAAGTATTTTTAAATCATCAGGAAGTTACACACAGCTCAGTATTTAGATGCCTCGCCTGCCTGTTTGTATTCACGTCTGTTGTTACCTGTCAGACACACTGAACTTGTCAATTAGGCGGTGTGCCCCCCTTCTCTTGATGAATGTTAAACGGCTCAACAGCTAATCGTGCGGATATTCAGCGTGAAGCTAAATGAGTTAGAACATGAAACCAAAGTGAAGTTATTTGTATTTATTTATTTCAGAATCAGGTTGGTTGCCAAGGTGGTTACACGCATTCAAGGAATTTGTTTTTGTGCGTATTTAGTACACGGTAAGAGGAATTAAATAAAGGAAAAAAGAACAAATGTATAATGGTAATAAAAAGCTATTTTAACAAATAAGAAAATACACGTTTGCAGGAAATGTTAATGTACAGAAAAGTAAGTATAAAGAGAATGACCATTAACTTGAACATGTGCAGTGTGTCAGAATTTAAAGTGGCAGTGCTGTGGAGTTATACATGAGGTAGAAATGTATTATTAGTAGGGCCGGGACTTTAACGCGTTAATTAAGATTAATTAATTACACAAAAATTAACGCGTTAAAAAAATTAACGCATTTTAATCGCACTTATTTTTGCACCGCGGAACGTTTCTCACTGGATGAGTTTCAGGCGTACCGATTATACTGGAGCACCAACTAACGTTCATGACTTCAGACAACAACAAACCACAGTGAACAACAGTGGGAAATGTTGTTTTAAAAAAACGGACGGATGGAAGCGTCGATAAGAGCACGGTTGTGTGCAAATTATGCAAAAAGGAATTCGCATATCACCGCAGCACATCAAGCCTCAAGTATCACCTCAATGCAAAACATATAGCAGCTAGCGTGGAAGCTAGCGTGGACATTAGCCTCTTTTATCGCGTTCACACCAAAAAGAGCCGGTACTAAAATTAGTTAATGAGAACCTTTTTACCCCCACGAAAGTCCCTGCTAGAGAGCAGAGAGCTGCTAGAGAGCAGGGACTTTCGTACGACTCTCTTGTGAGAAAAGAGCTATATTTCAGATTGGCTGGAAGGATTGCAAACCACGCCCCGTAAAACTCGCAAAAAGTTTTGTGAAGCCGCCATTTTATTATCCTCGCATTAGCATTATAAGCATTAGCATTATTAGCATTAGCCCAGCGCAGAAACGCAGAGAGACTAACTTATGGCAACACAAAATAAAACATGGGAGCGGTGGAGATGAGGAGGTGTCGGCGTTCTGGCGATTTACTCGGAAGGCTTCAGTAGAAGCTGCTGGGACTCCCAGCAGCTTCTACTGAAGCCAGTCCCCAACTCCGGGGACTTCCGGCCGGGGACTTTGGGCGGCAGTATACGGCGTGAAGTGGTTTGCGGCCTGCCAGTATACCCAAAGCAGAAGAAGAAGAAGTGACGTCAGTGGCTTCATTTGCCTAATCCTCCCCCAGGTTCAAAGAGTTCTCATGAACTAAATTCTCATGAACCTTTGTGGGAAAAGTACTGCGGTGTGAATGCGCCTAATGGTATACTAAAATCCATGTGAAAAAAAATTGCTTCTCACTGTTCTTAGGTCAAATATGTATATGCGATTAAAAATGCGATTAATTTCGATTAATTAATTACAAAGCCTCTAATTAATTAGATTAATTTTTTTAATCGAGTCCCGGCCCTATTAGCAATGTGCAAAATATACATTTACAGTATGGAAAATCAGAGCCATGGTCAGGATGTCCGTTGTCTGCTTTTCCTTTAAGACAGAGACTTTTTCTCGTATCAAATGCTTCTCTATCAATTGATAAAGTTATTAAAAAGTTTTGCCGCCGCAGTTAAGGAGTGCTCTCTAGTGCTTTAAGCCAATCTATCCTTATTATAACTAACACCTTCACAGTATCTGCGTTTTTAAAAAGCAGTGCTTTTAATCATTCGTGTATTTAAGCAGAAGCAGTGAATAACTGCCTGTCATTTTGAGGTCATGTTATCATTCCAGTCACTGACTATTTTTAGCTCTTAAAGAGAGGAAATGCATTTTGTTTCACTGCCTTATGTGCAACAGTAGTGAGTGATGTGCGACAGTGACTTTTTCCCTGAACATGCATCACATTTCAAAGTAACTTTAAAAAGCAAACTCAAAACCCATCTCTTCGCGTTTGTATTCCTTTTTAAACATTTTTATTTTTTTATTTTGGTGGTCTAATGGATAGTGAGGTGGGCTGATGATCAGAAGGTTGCGAGTTCAAATCCCGCCTGGAACACCACCACTAGTGTGCCCTTGAGTAAGGCACTTAGCCCTCAGTTACTCCAGGGAGAACGTCCCTGTGATTGGTCGTTGTAAGTCGCTCTGGAATAAGGCGTCTGCTAAATGCCTGAATTGTAAATTATATTTTTGGGAGAATAAACCCCACAGATCCTCAGCTCCGGTGTCTCACTCATTAACAACGCAGAGCAACAAGAACGTTGTCTTCAGTAGCCATGAACTCGCATGTATTTTCTTATTTTCATTTATTTTCATTTAATCGTTTATTTGAAGAGACAATAAACATTTAAAACAAATAATGCTTTAAAACGAAAACATGCCGGATTTTAGCTTTGCGCTAATTTCCATCCGTAGTCCCTCACATACAACATTTAAGAACATGACATGTATATAAATAGCAAAAATAAATACATGATATGCAGAAAGAGCATGAGCAGCATATACAAGTATTTACCACATGGCAGTACAATGTAGCAGCTACGACATATTAAGTGCAGGAGAAGATACAAGAGGAGATACCCCTGTGTTTAAGTGCATTGAGCGGTGATTGCACTTCTGTTTGTTTCTCAACCATTCTTTGAGTTGACCTTCAAAACTATTGAGAGAGGGACAATCCCGTATCTCAGTTGGGAGGCTGTTCCACAACGAGCTGCCTTTAACGGAGAGGACATTTTGTCCTAAAGTGGTCCATCTGTGGTGGACTTCACAGTCTCCTCTGGTTTCTGACCCAGTGCAGCGACCAGTGTGTTTTCTGTGGATGAATTCCCCTAGGGGGGGGGGGGGGCGTCCATGAAGACATTTATAAAAAAAACACATACTTTTAGAAGACTTTAAATTGTCAAAACTCAAGAAATTGTGTTCTTCAAGGATGGTACAGTGGTGGTATGAATAAGGCTTTCTGTCAAACCCCTTGATAGCTCTCTTGTACAGCTGTTCTATATTTGAGGGGGGGTGGATGCTTGGGCCACCCGAATAGGTTAAGAATCAAGAATTCTGTGGGGAACACTGTGCTTTTATCCCATGGCAATACTTATGTTGATGTATAATGTTGTTATAAT